TTCCTAAAATTGTTGGAGACTTTAGGATGAATAGTAGTGGTCCTAAAATGATCAATTCCCATCTCTCTGTATTTACGGACTCAAATTGGTCCGTTCTGATATATTGGCTTATCCCAAATTTAAATTTCAGCATTAGCGCGTCGTCGTGTGGTGACATTACGATTAAGGTTACCGTGTGTGGTAATATTGCTTGTGCTAAAAATTTAGGAATTATTTGTCATATTTGAACCGTTGAATTTTGACTATAAGTTGGTAATTATTTTTGTACTTCAACTGTTGTTTAGCCACTGTGTGAAACTACTTTGCATGAGAATTTGAATTTTTTGTTGACATGCTTTCGTGCTGCATTGATCATTCTATTAGAACACCTAGACTTGACCCGTTTGAACATTCTCTTGATACTGAAATCTTGAATCTCACGAAACCATGAGAATCTAGACCGGTGTATAATGCGGCCTTATAATTACTTTGTGTGACCTGTTTGTGCACTTTGGTTGTTCTATTTTTCAAAATGTCTTTACATTTCGAAGTTGAAATTTTCAATAAAAAAATTGGATTTTTCAATTTGGCAACAAAAGATGAAAGAAATTTTGGTTCAACAAAAAGTTTCAGAAGCCATAAGTGGCAAATTTTTTACAAATTTGACAGAAGTACAAAAAGTTGAACATGATAAATTTGCTTACATTTCAATTATTTTACACTTGCTGACACTCTTTTGAAAAAAAAATTGGTAAACTTGATACCACGAAAGAACTTTGAGAAAAGTTAGAAAATTTATATTTGCTTGAATCTACTTCTAATAAGTTGTACTTGAAAGATTTTTCAGTTTTAAAACAGATCTATCAAAGGATCTTGATCATAATCTGAATATTTTTAACAAATTTATTCAAGATATTGTTAATTGTGATGAGAAAGTATCTAAAACTTATAAGACCATCATTTTGCTTAATTTTATATCTAATTCATATAGAGAGATTAAGAATGCGATTAAGTATGGTAGGGACACTTTAATACTCGAGATTGTCTTAGATTTCCTTAAGAATATGGAGATGGCGATGGAGATTAAGACTAAAAAAGATGATAAAAGAAATGATGAGTTACATATGATGAGGAGTAGAATGAAGTTTAAGCATATTAATTTGGGTAGAGCTCAGGACAGTAGTAACTCAAGCAGTGATGAGAGTGGTAAGAAGAAGGGCAATGGATGGGACAAGTCTTGTGATAAGAAGTGTTACAGTTGTGGTCTAGACACTTTGTGAGAATTGTCCCAAAAAAAAAGGGATAAGCAGAAGGGTAAGATGAAAATGTAGGAACACCAAAGAAGAGTTTTATCCAATGCTTTATTTCTGTCCTAGTTCAGGCAAATGTGGCTATAGAATCGAGTGATGACCCTAGTAAGGTTTATTAAGAGTAAACTTAGTTACTGCATGTACATCCGTGTATAATCTTTTCAGCATGTATGTGATTATTTAATTCGTTTGTATAGTTATATATGCATTTCAATGTGTCTGATATATGCATTTACATGAATTTGAGAGCAATTTAATTACTTGGTGTAATTAGTTGCAAAGAAATTTTGAATGCTTCCATGCATCTAATGCAATAATAGATTCACGATTATTTTCTTTTTATTGTACAGTAGGAGCCCTTTCTTTTGGGACTTTGCTAAATTCAAAGTAGTAAGATAAAATAATATCTTTTGTTGCCATCTTTTAAAATCCACACCTCTAAACTTATAAACAAAAGTTCAACGTAAAAATATAGAAAGAATCATGAATAGCACACAAAGACTTATTCTAAAGATGAAGAAAGAATGTAACAACCAAAGATGGACGATTATTATCGTCAGATTGTCAGGGGCGATAGTATACGTAAATGGTTGTTCAAGACAAGAAAATATTCTAGTTTAATTCGCATTAGCGTAATTAAACTTTAAAGAAAGAAAGAAAGAAAAAGAAAACAAATGGAAAAACGAAATCTGAGGCAAGTGAAAATACTTTCTCTTTAAGACAATAATGTCCCGCAACGGTGCTAACGGACTACGGCACTTATCTCCCAAGATATAACTAATACAACTTCTGGTAGAAGCTCTTCAAACCACAAGTAACAACGAACTTAGAATGACTTTTTCTCTCTACATGAAAACAATTTTAGAATGACTTTTGGAGAGTATTTTGCAAGAGTTTGCGATATTATGCTCAATGCAAATCATATGAGATGCATAATGAACGTCCAAATGGTCATTTATATAGAAGAGAAAATGTTGTGAGTGAAATGTCGAGCTCCAAACTCAGTAACCTTTGCCAAAGGTCGCAGTATTTGCTATCGCTAGACTGATAAGTGAGCGATGGAGATAGTCATTTTTCAGCCCGTGCATCCTCTTTTCTATCCAAATTTGGATCGTAATTTTTCATTCATCCGAAATTGATTTTGAAATTTCAAATATACCAGATGATCTACTCGACGAGTAGAACAAGTTTGTGTACTTGTATTCATAATTTGACTATCAGATCAAGTCCAAATATTTAGTCGAAGTTGACACAAAAGTCACTTTTCCATACTTAATTTCATTCTCTAAGCTAAATCCCAACATAAAATACATATAAAATTCCTTTCCACAAGATTGTAATTTCACGCTTTTCACAACTATTACCACCGATTAAGGTTATGGTTAGTTTAGAGATAGATTGATATCCGAATTTATTTTTCGACAATAGAGGTTTTTACTCCATCGAATTGATTTTAGCCAAGTGAATTAGGTTTGTCATCCCATTTGGCATCAATGAATGTAACACCAAACTATGCTCCTATTTGGAGGTGATTCTCGATAGGATTTTAATGAAAATTTAGACCGTTGGAGAGATACTTAGCAAAATTTCTAGGATTACAAAGAAATTTGAGCTGCAATTATTGAC